TGATACGTTTTTCTTCGCTGTTACGAGGTTGCGCATGAACCGTACGAAATGGTTAGTTTTGGATTTTGCCCGTACTATTTTTTGTCTCTTTTTCTTTCTCTCGTATGATTATTGTTGTTGTTGCAGTAGTTTTAATTCATGTAATCTTTTGTGTTTTTCTAGTCACAAGCCGATGTTTCAAAATAAAGAATGTGATGCCAGTGTTGGTTCTATTGCTAAAGCATTTGTCCCCACTGGCATGCTCAACTCAGATAGTGCTGATGTTGTTTTATATTCTCTACGTCAGAAGTACCGAGACACTGACAAGTTGATAGTTCCCAGAAGGGTGACGGTCGGTATTTTGCTTTTTTGTAAATAGGATGATAACTTGTTTTGCCAATTTTCTAACTGTTGTTATTCTTTTTGTACAACAGACCAAGATCCGTGATGGAAATATTGATTCCAATGTGCTAAATTGGTTCACGAGATCAGGTGTTGATGGTTTTGACCAAGTAGGTGAACTTGGACTTTTTGTATTCATTAACTAGAACTGTCATGTTTTCTTTACAGTTTTGGGAGGTGGGGGGATGAACTTGATCTGTGCTTCTTTTACACCTGCACTTATGAATGATCCGTGCTTCTTTTATTAAAGTTGCACTTATTGTTGCAAGGAAATTGAACTGATTATGTGATTTATATCGCAGTGGATATAAATTCTTTATGATTATGTGATTTTTTGTTTGTACTTATGAATTTCAATTTCCCTCTTTTATTTTATTTTTTGGAGGCTGAATTTTTTGTTTCATTATGATTTGGTAAATTCATTTTTCCTCTGTGATTTTTTTCCAGCTTCTTTTCCCTACATTTGATCCGCCGTCATTTGTGGCTACCATGAAGCCTAGTGAAGTATCTGGGCATTGATGCTTGGTTGTTCTGAATTTGAAGTTCCGTTGTTTCGAGTGTCTTGATTCACTCTGTGATGAAACCTGGGGTGATGCAGTTAGATTCTTAAGGAATATCACAGATAATATAAAGAAGCTTTGGAGGGAGTCCAGTGTAGACAGGGCCAAACCGTTCTCACCGGCGCATATTGATGGTTTCTCTTGCGAGTTTGTGCGGGTGCCTCAGCAGGAAAACACGTGAGTATCCGTTTTTAATTATTTTTGCTGGTTGTTTTTGTTGCTGGAGGATGTTGTTCCTATATTTTTTGGATTTTGTGTTGTACCATTTTTTGTTTTTTCCTTTGTTTACAGGCATGATTGTGGATTCTTTATGCTACAAAACTGCAAGACCTATTATTGCCGGGAGGATGGTGTAATTGAAATGGTCGATTACAGCCATGAAGACATTTTGGACATTAGGAAGACTTTGCTGTATACCTGCGCAACTAGCGATGTGTTTGATGTTGACTTTCGGGGTTTGTTTGGCATCGAACCCTATACGTGTGCATGGACTTTTGTAATTTTTTTGCAGCTTGTACTTCTCTATTAGTACTGTCATGAAATATGTATTTGAACTTACGCTTTGTGCGGTCATTTTTTTCCAGGTGAGTGGCTAGATCTTGGTGAGTATGACTACAGGTTCTTTGGTAGCCAGTTCTCGGAGCTCGAGCGCATAGCTATTGATCTTAACCAGGGGCGTTCTCCCGAAAAGACAAGATCTGGTGTTATGAAGGGGCGGTTGGGAGCTCTGAGAGGTTCTACGGCTGCTTGTGCAGATAGTCCTACTACACCCAAGAATCCGATTGTGGAATTGATAGACAGTGATGATGATGTGTTTGACAAGATTGCTGGCATTGGAAGAGTCACGAGGAGCGCTGCTGCCAAAGGTTTATCTCCCCTTGCTGGAATAATGGCTCGTAGAGCTGGTGGTGCTAGGAAAGATCCCGCTTTCGATTCTGGCAATGTTGTAAGCACGAAGCGTGCGCCCAGAGCTCCTATAAAGTTTTGCTCCCCTGTGCAGCAGCTTCACCCTCATAAATTCCCTCACCTGGACAAGGCTCGCAGGTTGTATAATCTATTGCTTAGTGATGAATGGCGTGAGAAGTATGCCGAGTGAGTATATCTCATTATTTTTCCTCTTCCTTTTCTTCTGTTGGTTGTAACTGCTAGATAAATATGACCTGAACTGTTCCTTTTTATACAACTAGAACTTCTATGAATTCCTTATCTTGCTTCTCCTTCTTTTTGTTCTTGTGTGTGCTGCAGGAATACATTCTCAATGATACCTCAGCCTGATGATAACGTAACTAGCTTCACTGGGAAACGCATCTGGGAAGTTTTTGCACCTGGGCAAATGATGGAGGGTGATGTAATGGACTTCCTCACTGATGATTGGAAGCAAGATCCCTATAGAAATGCTGATTTCGCATCTGGGAAAAGGATATTGGTGAGTCCATATTTCATCACGGTAATCAATCAGATCGGTTTCTTTATGTTGAACAAGACTGCCTATTGTTTTTATGAGTTTTAATAATACTTTGCTTATTGATTCTTTTCCGTTGTCTATTTTCTATTTTGGCTTTTTTGCAGGTTGTGCTTGACTGTTCATTTTACGAGGATGAAAATAAAGTGTTTAATGTGGAGAGTGCAGCGAGAGATTTCAAGAGCTATGTTAAAGCTAATGAATACTTGCTCAGTGCCGACCTTGTGAGATTTACTAGCTGATTTTTGGTTTTTTATTTGTTTGTTGTGATGCTGGTTTTTAATTTGAATATTTAACATCTCTTTTTTGGTCATTTGTTTTTAGATCATGATGCCTCTATTCCAGCCTATGGTTTTATCAAAGGATAGGAAAGTGAGCCACTATTCCTTATATGTCATGAATCGGTATCGAAGTAGCGTTGACATCCTTGACTCTTTACCTTATCCGAAGAACCACCGTCCTTCGAAGAACACCTATCACAAAGACTGCGAGAAGATTGTGTGACATTTATTATCTGTACTGGATTAATATTTCTGCATCTTTGTTTCTGCTTTTTCTGAGACCTAAAACTGTGTGGGTTCTTTTGTTTTTTAACAGATTTCTAGATTGGTCAAAGTAATGAAGGCTGTGTATGGTGATGCTCAGTACAATGCGAGCAAGCAACCCAATTGGGAGCTGTTTGCAAAGAAACCAACGTTTGTCAAGGTTCCACTTCAAGGGAAAAATGAATGTGGCCATTATACTTTGAAGTATGCGGGATGCTATGATGGTGAAAAGATCGTTGAGAACATTCGAGATAATGACGTGGGTTTCTTGTTGAGCTTTTCACTTTCTGTTTTTGGCTTATTGTGCATCCTTTTTTATGTGTCATGATTTTTGATAATTTGTTTTATTGTTTTGCAGCCACGCATTGTTGATTGGAACGCTGAGGATCTGTATAGAGTTGTGTTCAACCGGAATAACAATCTTCTAGTGACGGAGCTTCCCAAGGAGGTTCGGGCTTTGGCTCCTGATGCATAGGAGAAATGGTCATCATTTGCATAGTTAATGGGATAGCTGTGTGATATATCTCTTGAAAACATTGTAGGCTCTATGTTGTAGTGTTTGATGTCTTGTCGAGTACTATGTAATAACTAGTATATTTTGTGTTGTGTTTAAAGTGTGGCACAATGTTTCATCGGGAATTCGTTTTGGTTAAGTTTTATTTTTTGTACTGAAGAATTATATAGTAGTTGAACTGAAAACACTTTTTTTTCAAGTGTATTTATGAGTTGTTGCTCAGAAAGTGAGATTTATTTTATTTTTATGTGATTCCATCCTAAGTTGGACCTTTATAGTTTCTGTACTCTCGTTTTCTTGTACTTATGATATAGTTCTGTTAGTACTGATTTGTAATCTCATTCAGTGTAAGGCTTTCAAAATTTTGGTGCCAAATTTCTGTTTGAACTTCTTGAACTTTAGTAGTTGAACTTCATAGTAAAAGTTAAAGTACTGGTTTAAATTAGCTACGTTTAAGAGATAGTCCTATTAAGTTCAAAACTATTTATTTCTCAATGCATTAATTGGTATCATCATAGCACTTACCGAATAAACTTAGTTATACTGAGATTCCAATTGTGCTAGTACTTTTGATTAATTATTTATTTTCTGTGTTGTTTGATGCTAGTACGTCTTCTGTTGTGTTTCTTGTGATTTTTCTCTTTTGTTGAACTTATATCTTTTTGATTTAGTTTTTGGCCTTCTTTTTTTCTAGGTTGTGGTTCTTCTCCAGGCAATGTTTGATCCTAGCACTTGCCGTATAGACTTAGTTGTACTGAGATTTCAGTTGTATTGCCACTATTAATTCTTAGTATGTCACTGTTTTAAGGAATGTGAACTGAAGCTTCCCGTTCCTTTTTATATATTTGTAGAATGAACATACCGTGTGTTCAACTGTACCAGAACTTTCAGTCCTAGGATGCTAGTGACTAGGAAATACGTGCTGGTGTTTCTTTGCTTTTCCTGATGCAGTACTTAGTGAATTTCTAACTACTTTTTAGCACGATGCTTTTTAGTACTGAATGATGTCCTCGGCTGAAACTTAGTCTTTTTAGTGTTCTTCTGAAACTAAAAACTGATTTTTTAGCGTGATAGTACTACCGTTCATGTCTAAGCTGTACTGAGCGTCGAAGGCTACTATTTTCTTTTGGCCTTTATTTAGTCTGCCACTTTTTTTGCAAAAATATTCATGTGTTATTTTTTTCTCCATGACTAGTGCTGCGTGGCAGCCATCAAGTTTCAACTTCAAATCATGGATGAACAAAATAGGAAGCTAGCAAACTTGTTGGACGACATAAGCAAACAATGTACTTGATAGACATAGGCAAACTTGTTCAAACCCTGACACACATAGCATAAGGTAGCTGGTTCAACATAACGAAAGCAAACTACAAACCTGAAACAACAATACTAAGGACACACACAGCATAAGGTAGCTGGTTCAACATAACAAATGCAGACTTTCATGCATCTTCATCCGTGAAGTTGGAGTGGTAGTAGGGGTCAGCCTCCTGCTCTTTTGAAATATCCCAACCTGTCACGATGTTGCCGATTGTCTTTCATGACTTGTACGTTGCGTATGCATCTATTCCTGCGTACGTGATGAGGTTGTCTGGCAGCGGGATGTTTCCCCACAGTTTGTGGTCTGCCCTGTTCATCTTCTTCTTCATGCCTTTGTAGAATGGGTGGATGACGCCGCCTGCAACATCGGCCAAGGAGTCGTAGTATTTGTTGGTCTTTGGATCTTTCCACTTGCGTTGCATGTTGATGAAGTTGTTGGGGTTGATTTCCAAACCAGACTCCTCCAGCACCCGCTTGTCACCTCCAATGCTGAAACCAACAAATGTGTACAATTTCTTCTCCCGCAGGCAGTCTTTTAGGCACTTGGGCCTGCAAGGGGGGAGACACACATTTATAGAATAGTCTTCATTTTTGAGGATTTAATTATTCTGCTTTTTTTTGTTTTACAAGTGATAATCCATGAGGTAGATGCTTATATATTATGAGTCATGCATGAATGTAGTTCAGAAACTAGTACACAAAGTCCTGAAATTAAATTCAACTACACCGTGTTATTTTTTCTTTTTTGCTATCTTCGTTGCTTCACCAAATGCTTCACCAAATTAGAGAATCATTTTACCAGAGTCAATGATATATGCGCTGCTTGATTCAAGTTTAGTTTTCTTTTTTATTGAATAAAAGACCTATACCAGTGCTTTATACATCTTTGTGCATTAATTCTATATCAAGTTCAAAAATTAGTTTGAGAAACATGTGCATCAAGATATGGACCTATACCACTTCACCAAAGATCTTTTAATACATCAATTCTATAAACTATACTAGTGCATCAAGATCAGAATCTATGCTAGTACATCAAGTTCAGAAATTAATTTGGTGCATAAAGTTCAGAATGCTATAAACTTTTTTTCAGATGCTAATCTGGTGAAACAATCCACTTCACAGTTTCAGAAATGCATGTAACTTGATAAACATGTAATCGTGCATCCACTTCATAGACTATAATAGTTCATCTAGTTGGGAAACAAGTTTTAATTAAGCTTTTAGTGACTAGTACTGGTACAAGAGATGAATGAACAGTAGTATGGGTTACAATGGATGAATGTACTTCAAAAACTAGTAAAGAAAGTTCTGAAATTAAATTAAGTACATTATGTTATTCTTCTTCTTGGATTATACATAGTTTCAATAATGATGTATGTTCTTCATTGGTACTAGTTTAGTCTACTTTTGTTGAAATAGAATAACACATAATTAGTGCTTCACCAAGTCCTTAGTTTATTCTCTTACGAAAATAACATTAGATCAAATTCAGAAAATACTTCACTACAAACCACACTAGTACATCTAGTTGGGAAACAAGTGTGATTAAATTTTCAGGATACAGTACTAATAAAACAGATAAACCATATGCAGGGCGAATGAGTAGGATTGCTCACCATTTTGTGGCCACTGCGATGTGGTACACCAAGCAGAGTTCCTCGACACACAACTGCAGGACTGCCGCCATCTGTGGAGGTTTTTCCTCGTCGGTGTACTCCACATCAACTCTGATGAAGCTTGGATACAAGCCGCCTCCCTTCATCTTGAGCCTGCTCATCATCTTGTCGGCCTTGTTTGGTTCGCTGGTGCAGACGATCTCCAGCGTCTCCTTGCCGTGGAGATCAACCCCTTTGAGCGTTCTGGTGTATTCGCGCTTCTCCCGGGGACGTTAATGTCGACGAGGTTGCTCCTCTTGTCCGACGTCTCGGCATGATGACGCTTGGCGGACGGTTCCTCCGCCATGGCCTTCCTCCGGCGACTGTGGGCTTTGGAGAGAGACGCTGGAGGTTTGTGTGCAGTGGAAATGGAAGCGGCAATGGTGGTTTGTGGGAACGAGGGAGAGATATAAGACAATGGGGTATTTTTTGCAGTGCGCCAACGGTGGTGTGTGGGAGGCGGTTCGTCGGGGGCGTGTGTGTAGTGGTCGTGGGGGTCGCTGTTTGCAGTGTGTCATGGCAACCGCCGAGTGGGTGGCGCGGGTGGTGGCGTGGAAGAACTAACCGTCCAAGTTAAATGGTTTTTACTGTTGAACTGACTAGTCTTGTCAAGCTGTACTTATGAACTGCCAAATCCCACTTACACGTCTCTGCGGTGGTGATGATGGCATTTTGCACTGTTTAGGTGACGTATGGATCTGTGATGTTTTTCCGTGTGGATGTTTAAGTATTGTTTTTCTATTGAAGCCTTTATACACTAGTGTATGTCAAAACATTTTTTCAGTGCCCTGGGAGTTGTTGCTCAAAACTTGTACTTATTTTATTTTCATCTGTACCAACTTAAGTTAGGCCTTTATAGTTTTTGTATTCTCATTTTTAGTGCACTTATGTTTTGGTACTGTGTGAACTGAATTGTAATTTCAAACAGCGCATGGGTTTGAAATTTGATGTCAGAGTGGTGCGAGTGGCCTGACTGATCCTGTTGTTTTAGTATTGATGTCGTATGTATGTTTGAACTGATCTTTTTTATAACTTAGATTGGGGGTGGGGGTTTGAGAATATTTTACGACCAGATCGTTCGTTGTGGTGTGGACAGATTTTATATAAATAAGAAATTTAGTAGAATTGACAAATAAATTCTATTTGAACTTTTAGAGTTTTAGTAGTTGAACTTGTCAGATTTTTTATAAATAGGAAATTTAGCATAATTGACAACATTATATGTTTGAACTTTTTGAATTTTAGTAGTTGAACTTGTCAGATTTTATATAAATATGAAATTTAGCATAATTGACAAACATTATATGTTTTGAACTTTTTGAGCTTTAGTAGTTGAACTTGCCAGTTTTTCTATAAATAAGAAATTTAGCATAATTGACAAACATTATATGTTTTGAACTTTTTGAGCTTTAGTAGTTGAACTTGTCAGTTTTTCTATAAATAAGAATTTTAGCATAATTGACAAACATTATATGTTTTGAACTTTTTGAGCTTTAGTAGTTGAACTTGTCAGATTTTATATAAATATGAAATTTAGCATAATTGACAAACATTATATGTTTGAACTTTTAGAGTTTTAGTAGTTGAACTTGTCAGATTTTGTATAAATAAGAAATTTAGCATAATTGACAAACATTATATGTTTTGAACTTTTTGAGCTTTAGTAGTTGAACTTGTCAGTTTTTCTATAAATAAGAAATTTAGCATAATTGACAAACATTATATGTTTTGAACTTTTTGAGATTTAGTAGTTGAACTTGCCAGATTTTATATAAATATGAAATTTAGCATAATTGACAAACATTATATGTTTTGAACTTTTTGAGTTTTAGTAGTTGAACTTGAAAGTAATTTTTAATTCTGTTTTTTAAATTATGTACATTTAACAGATAGGCTATTAAGTTTTGTTCTTTTTAGAGGTTCATTGTTTTTGTATCATATTTTTTTCCTTTTTTCTTGTAGAGGTTAATTGACAAACATTTTTCTTGTAGTTTATATTTCTTTGTCCCGCCCTCTGGTTTGTATACTTGGGCTTATTTGGTGGGGTGTTTTGTTGACGATGTAGGCTATTGGGCCGTTTTCCGGCCCAGATAGCTCGTCCGCGCGCCTGTGCAGTGTGTCGTGCGCGTGCGCTCTGGGTTTAGTCCCACCTCGCTAGTCGAGGGGGCTCCGGACCTGTTTATAAGCACAGCCGAGGCTCACCAGTCGAACTCCTCAGAACACTTACCTGAGCGCTTATACACGGCGCTCGCTCTTTCTCTTGACCTGTGGGCCCTGGTCGGCGGGTCCTGCGTTGTGCGGATTACTAGAGTTTCTCCCACGGGCTCGAGTTCAAGTATCTAGCATTGTCAGGGCATGTGCCTGACCTTGGGCGGTCAAATTTTTGGTTTTTTTTGTTTGTTTGAATCTAGTACTTGACTCCTCCAGTAACTTGGACTGATACTTTTTGTTCTAGTTCTTGTCAGTTTTGTGTGAGTGTAATCTTTTTCATTTGAGTTTTTTGCCTTCTTTTTTGTGTTTGTTTTTGTGATTATTCTCAAGTGTCTTCTGGTGTCATTTTTGAAGGAAATATGCCCTAGAGGCAATAATAAAGTTATTATTTATTTCCTCATATCATGATAAATGTTTATTATTCATGCTAGAATTGTATTAACCGGAAACATGATACATGTGTGAATACATAGAGAAACATATAGTCACTAGTATGCCTCTACTTGACTAGCTCATTAATCAAAGATGGTTATGTTTCCTAACCATAGACATGTGTTGTCATTTGATTAATGGGATCGCATCATTAGGAGAATGATGTGATTGACATGACCCATTCCGTTAGCCTAGCACTTGATCGTTTAGTATGTTGCTATTGCTTTCTTCATGACTTATACATGTTCCTGCAACTATGAGATTATGCAACTCCCGTTTACCGGAGGAACACTTTGGGTGCTACCAAAAGTCACAACGTAACTGGGTGATTATAAAGGAGTACTACAGGTGTCTCCAAAGGTACATGTTGGGTTGGCGTATTTCGAGATTAGGATTTGTCACTCCGATTGTCGGAGAGGTATCTCTGGGCCCTCTCGGTAATGCACATCACTATAAGCCTTGCAAGCAATGTGACCAATGAGTTGGTTACAAGATGATGCATTACGTAACGAGTAAAGAGACTTGCCGGTAACGAGATTGAACTAGGTATTGGATACCGACGATCAAATCTCGGGCAAGTAACATACCGATGACAAAGGGAACAACGTATGTTGTTATGCGGTTTGACCGATAAAGATCTTCGTAGAATATGTAGGAACCAATATGGGCATCCAGGTTCCGCTATTGGTTATTGACCGAGAATAGTTGTAGGTCATGTCTACATAGTTCTCGAACCCGTTGGGTCCGCATGCTTAACGTTACAATGACTGTTTTATTATGAGTTTATAAGTTTTGATGTACCGAAGTTTTTTCAGAGTCCCGGATGTGATCACGGACATGACGAGGAGTCTCGAAATGGTCGAGACATAAAGATTGATATATTGGACGACTATATTCGGACACCGGAAGTGTTCCGGACGTTTTCGGAGA